CCAGGCTATGCCTCGCTGTAACAAATAGCTTCATTGAGCATGATTAACCCATAGGTGCTTAGGAAGTTGCTTATTTCATATTTTTATTTTTTCTAATTTTTTTTCTGTGATTCAAAAAAATAAATAAATAAATAAAAATTTTACCAATTGCGGGCTGCCACGTGTCACTGGAGTCCACAAAACAGTGCAAGCACCAATGCTTGTTTAGGCTTCAGAAGCAATGGTTGCTTAAATTTTGTGGACCCCATCGACTATTTAACTAATTTTTCTTAAGCATTAACCTCCTTAAGCACCTGCATTGAAGATGGCCTTAGTGGTGATCAATGTAGTTACAACTAATGATGTATCTATAGAAATTACAACTAATTTATAAATAATTATTAAAAAAATCATCTTAGATATTATGTCATTTAGTTAAATACAAATCTAGCATTTTTTACATCTAGCTACAAACTATATGTAACAAAGCATCTAAATTTTGACTCTTAAGGTTTTTTTTTCTTCAAAAATACATCTTATTTATGCTCAAATTTTACTTATATTTTTGATTATGTATTATTTGATTTTAGTTATTTTTCTGTCTTCATGTAGATATGGTAGCACAAGAGGGAATTGATGTAACAAAACAACTGGATAAGATAATAAGATATGTGAAAAAATAAAATAATTTTGTCCTAATTATCTCTCATTAAAATAAGTAAAATATTTCCTATAAATTTTTTTATGTTTATAATTAATGGAATAATTATATTACTTTATTTAAAACTAGTTGTTTTGCCCGCACATGCGGACATAATTTTCGTAAAATTTATTATTAGTCTGTATTTTATTAATTCAAACCAATATAATAAGTTATAATTTATGTTTTAAAATTAATTATAAATGACAACACTCACATAACAAAATATTTTTAAAAATATATTTTTACAAATGTGTTGCATTAATTTATTTTAATTATAAGTTTTACTATCTTAATTTTTTATTTCTATAATAAAATATATATTTTCAAGATAACAATATAATATATAAGAAGTATCTTATTTTCTCAAAATATATTTTTAAATAGAAATTCGTTTTAATTTTATAATAAATTTTATATGAAATTATTAAAAATATGACAAATAATTAAAATTATCTAGATCATAGAGAAATTACAAATCAGATAATTCACTTAAATTTTCTAATAGAAAATATATGTTCAAGATAACAATCTAATACATAAGAATTATCTTATTTTTTTTAAATCTAGTATTATTAGTATACATTCGTTTTATTATTTAATAAAATATCTGAAATTATTAAAATATGATAAATAAGAAAAGTATAAAAACATGGAGAAGTTGATAAATCAGCATTGCTTTCTTTATATTTAACTATTAATCGTTAACTTAATTTTTAATTTCTATGATAAAAATAATATTTTAAAGATAACAATATAATACATAAGAATTATCTTATTTTCTAAAAGTATAATATTATTAATAGAAATTCGTTTTAGTATATGATAAATTATTCATAAAATTATTAAAAATATAACAAATAAGCAAAGTTACAAAAATCATGGAGAAAGTATAAATCAATCAGTAAATTCACTTGAATTTTATAATAGAAAATATATTTTTAAGCTAACAATTTAATACAAAATAATTAACATATTTTCGAAAATAGAATATTATTAATATAAATTCATTTTTATTAAATAATAAATTGTATATAAATTATTTAAATAAGGTAAATAAACAAATTTACCTAAAATCAAGGTGAAGTTGACAACTAAGCAAATTTACTTCTTATATAATAGTATAGATATGTTTTCACAATTCTAACGTTTTTATAATGTAAAACCGTTGTGAATGAGTATATATATATATATATAGTATTATTAGGTTTTTTTAATACTATTACTATTTTAATAAAAATAATATTAATGTTTCATTATATTTATGGAGGAGTCTTAAGGATCATATGAGTTCTGAAGTCTTCGAATTATGGACGTGCAGAAAGAGTTTTTTAGCGCTGCAGATTCAGATGAAAGGTTTATTTTGGACAGTTTCATGTATGAGAGATATGAGGATAACTTCAATACGATTTGAGACGAACTGTTTGGACCTAGTGGATATGACTACAATCCAGAGGATTGACCGACTTTCAAGACAGAGATTGAAGTGTTACATAGATTACATAAGGATTTCGACAATGCGAGCTTGTCTCATATTTCTCAGAATAGAAATGGTCGAACGGACGCACTAGTAAAAGCAAGAACCATAAACTATACATTTTTTATATAGATAAGATATGGCTAGACAAGGGTTTGGTTTGTCTAATTAACCACCACTTGATCTTTGATCTAGTTTAGACGGGCAGTTGACAAAAAAAAAAAAATTATATATATATATATATATATATATATATGAATGGAGGGTCACGTGGCATAAACCATGGATATATAGAATCAAATTCTATACCTGCGTAGATTGGACCAGAATATATATTTTAGGTTTAGTCCAATGTCTTTTCCCGCGTGAGTCATGTAAAAGTAATGAAAAGTTAAAACGTTTATATTGTCTATAAGAGAGGTCCTAAAAATACGACCACTTTCTTACCATAGTGAAGCCTTTCCAGAGGTCTATATGTCGAACTTTTCAGGAGTATATTTGAATGAGATATGCTTGTGTTGTCATGTTTTTGTTGTGTCTTAAATATACCCATATTATTATTATTTTTAATTCAATTATTTTCAAAAGTCCAATTATATTATTGTCTCGTCTTTTGCATGGCGGAAAAAGAGAGAAAAAAGTGAAAAATTGATCTCTAAAAACTATGACCAGAATCATCGATCAACACGTATCAACGGGAAGTGGATAGTAGGGACAAAAATAATGGTATAACATTTTTATAACTTAATAATGGCATAACATGTCGACATATCTTTAATTAATATTCTCTCAAAAGATCACGTTTAAAAAAAGTTTGTTCCCATTTTTTATATTTAGGTTTCACAAATTTAATTATGTTTATTGAAATTTGATTGAAAATTGTGGAAATAGTTAATTACAAAGAATAAGGCATTAATAATCAAAATTTTGACACATTTTTTAAACATGCGTAAAAAATCTATAACTTATATTTTAAAAACACATAGGGAGTAATTTAATTATGATCAATACTTTCAAGTCTTTGATCCTTTCTTACAAAGCATTCATTAGAGAATAATTAAATGTTAGTATGAACATTGTTAGCTGGTAACC